TGTATTGTCTGTATGTTAGAAATTGTTTGTCCTCCCCCCCTCCTTTTTTTGAACTGTGAGCCGCCCTGAGTCCCCCCAGGGAAAAGGGCGGCATACAAATAAAGGGAAATACTAAATTTCAACAACCACTGTTGTCATCCTTCTGACATATCCTACTGACGTTCCATATATGGGAATTCCCATCAGTTCCAGTCAGACAGAGTGGGCCTATTTGATTTTAGTTTAGTTTAGTTTTATTGGTCTTGTATGCCGCCCACTCCCGAAGGACTCCGCGCGGCTTACAATAAACAAGGGAAGGGGATAAATAGACAAATAGACAAACAACAATTTAAAATACACAACATTCATAGCATTCACTTTGCAGTTATATTGAACTTCTTTCAACATCTAACTTTTTAGAAATGAGGAGTTTCAAAGAGTAGAAGGCTCCACTTTTCGATCCTTACTTTCATAAGCAGTATTTACGAAAATCAGGGAAGGGACACAGTATAATAGTCACTTCATGTTCTGGTTAGAAATAGTTTGCATTCCTTCGCTTTCTTGCTACTCTGCCTTAATAGAAGGAATGAAAAGTTAAAATGAAATTCAGTGTTTGCGGCCACGCTTCGGTTCTCCTGAGATCCATTTCTCTTTCATATGTCTCGAGTCAGTAGCCTGTTCAAGGTGTTGGCTGCACTAATGTATTTGATGATAGAAATAACCTTGTTTGTGCTTAAAACCGGGATAATGTTAAATAGCCAACAGCCCATGCCCCACTGAATCAGTTTTCTCACTAGATGTGCAGCTTACAAGTGAAAATGTGTCATGGCAAAATGTTGTCAAAGGGGGTGAGAAGAGAGAAGGAGAGAGAGTGTAAAGAAATGCAAAGAGCCCTTGTTAGAAGATTACTCTTGAGCGTAATACAAGACATAGGCAAACTTGAGGCCACAACTTCTACTGTTTGAAAAACTCTTGTCATTAGAAACTTATTTCTGGTGTTCAACTGAAAATATCCTCCTTGTGATTTTTATGTGCTGGTTCAATTCCTGGTGCCGGGCCAGGGAAGAACAATTCTGCTTGGTGTCTAATATGACAGATGTTTAGAAAGTCTCCATAAATAGAGGAGATACCTATCTGCAATACAATCTTGTGGAGGGTGATGAAAATGGTGAAGGGTATATCACTTCTCTGTATCTGCCTCATTATGAAATATCTTATTAGTGGTCAGGCCTACCTTTTTGAGAAAATTGGGGAACCTCTGATAAATATCAAAGGATCCATTAGAAACTATAGGTAGTCCTCAATTTATGACCCGTGACCCGACAACTAAACAAATGCGCGGCGACAAAACTGCGACGTCAAAAGCGTGGTTAGGGTTAGGGTTATAACGTCCCACTATGTCCCAAGCGTGGTTAGGGTTAGGGTTATAACGTCCCACTATCCAGGCCTTCCGCATAGCCCTTAAAACCTGGCTGTTCCGACAGGCCTGGGGCTAAAGACTCGCAGCCCCATTTCCAATGGTACGATTGTTGTGTTTTTAACTATGTATGGTTTTTGTGTTCTTGTTACTTTGTTTTGTATTTTCCCCTCCCTTTTTAAGTTGTGAGCCGCCCTGAGTCCCTTTAGGGAAAAGGGCGACATACAAATAAATAATAATAAATAAATAAATAAATAAATAAATA